TGAACACATGCACAGAACAAACAATCACTTCATGTTGCACACAGGCTTTGTATTGTATACAGGCGATGGTTCCAAACGTAGAACATCTCCTCTACTTCCAGCTCAAATTGGTTATTTCTACTTCGGATTAGTGAACTATTTCTTTCTTCTACCCATGGCATCACACAACTCACCTTTGTTCTTCTGTCTCAGCTCTTCCTCAGTTTTCAGTAGTTTGGTGTTTTTCTCTGTCAGCTCTTCCTTGGTCTTCATGAGTTCAAAGCCAGTTTTTTCCAGCTGCTCCTCAAGCCGACCAATAGCTTCCTGTGCATCCTCCAGGGATGCAATGTAACTATGTGCTGCCACAGCTTGCTTTTTAATATCCATAACATCACGCTGCAGAGAATCAAGAATGCCCTCAAGATCAGCACAGGTGTCACGCACTGCGCTATGTTCTCCACCCTGGAACACAATTTCTTGTCAGTTACAGTTGGTGGATAGCTACCTACGCAATAGCTGTTACTTCTACAGATAGTTTGGATAGCCACTGTGAAGTCAACCACCTAAACAGTTTTGAATTCCAGCTTCAAAGCCCACCTTGCAAGTTCACATGCAACTTAACAGAGAGTTGTACTGGGGGGCGCGGGGAGTGGGAGATATGAATTGGCAATCTAGCAACAGCTATTATATTTTATAGTATTTGACGACCCACTATCACACTCCTTTCTTATATTACCACAGATACAACTCCTGCAAATTTAACCTATAAGCTAGGATTCCCTTTTTCCTTGAACACAGGGTAATTTTTCGTTTTCTGTTGCAGAAACACAAAGAAAAGCCGTCAAATTCCCAAAGCTTTCTGAAAGGCTCAGCAACCATTCGTACTAGATGAAGAATAGATGCATCTTGCTCACCATACAGCAACACAGCCTGCGTTTCCTTGTGACCAGCCCTTTAGCTCCCTAAGACGCGCCCATACCACTTAACTAGTAAAAAGGAAAATATTTAAGAAAAAGCAAGAACGAAAAAATACCAGGGGTTCAGCTTGTTCGCTGCGAGGCAGATTCTTTAGTTTCTCTTCGCCTGGGTTGTCAGCATAACCACTTACAAGTTCCTTGAAAATTTCAAGGCGCTTTTCAGAATTTTCTTCAAGCCGTTCTCGTTCCTGGGAAAGGCATTCTCTGTAGAACAAAAGACAGAACATACGTCAGCTAAAAGCCAACCCATCTCAACCGCTACGTTATTAGCGCAGTTTCTTGAAAACAAAGATGTTTCTCTATTTTGGCACCACAGAATACTACACAGAATATTACTGCTACACTGACATAGAAATGTATTTCCCCACTCCCCAAGATCTGATGGAGGTGAGGGAGAGCAGCAGCAGGTGACAACAGATGCAAATGTTTACTAGAAGACTTCTTCCTGAGCTCCTCGAGCCAGAAAAATTCTGTTTGCCACTAAGAGAGCAGTCAGTAAAGATACCCTCCTCTCCTCAGCCTCCAAATCAAAGCCTGTCCTACGCCGTATTTCTCCTACAATCCACCGTCCAGGTAGAAACTGATTTCTTACCAGAGACCAAGTAAGAGTAAAAGAGCAAGTCCAGCAGAATAATAGACTATTCTTTCATCCAATCCAACTCTCAGCAACACGGGAATACACCCTCACCTTTCCTTTTCAACCAATAACTTTAAGAGCGTTTAAAGCTAACTTACTTGAACTCTGTTTCCTGCTGAGCAAAATATCGGGTAAATTCTTGGGCCACTTCATCACGAATTTTCAGTTCCAGCAGTAACTTGTCCTTCTTCTCAGCAATAAGTTGGTTCTTCAAGTCTTCCACAAGACTCAGCAGTGCCTAGGATAACAGCACTATTAAGTTTTTCATCAAGCAATGGTTTTGCTAGAACTGAGTTTTCTCCCTTCACTCTATTTGAAAATGACCTCCCACTTCTTTTATTAACTTATTCATAAACAGAAGCCTTCACATTTGGTCCTAGCTCAATAACTTACAGGCTTGCTCAGATAAGTCATTTGCCAAGAAATCTAAAGCAGA